TACATTTACCTTCGATTTGCCTTTGCCTATTGAAATCCTAGCAAATTATTAAAATTGAGCTTTGATCTTACCAGGGCTGTAAAGAACATTTTAAAAAGTCGACCTAGAGGTGATCTGTCTTTTTCTTAAATTCTTCTACTTCCTGTCAATTCCAATGATTCTCAGTCATTAAACTCTGAAAAGTGCATTCCAAAGTCAAAAAAAGATTTGACACAGTGCTGCTCCTTCCCATGAGATGGAGGAAGAGGAACAGAGGGTAATTTTCCACTCTGACTGAGTGAGAGTGAGAGGGTGACATCCCAGGAGAAAGCTGAAATTGTCTGTGAGTCGTGGTGATGCAGGACATCCTTCCTGTGCTAGAGAATGCCTGTCACATGGGTGCCATGAGAAATATTTCTGTACAGTCACCAGGTTATTTGAGTGTTCCCTGGGTGCTAGGTCAGGAGCAACACAGTTCTCTACTCGGGAACCACACAGAAGAGGTCCCCAAGTCACAGGCAGGGGAGATATTACATCCTTGGTCAGTTTGTTAAAGACTCACAGTGAGCGTTATCAGATAGATTAATGAAAAGATAACACTTTCAAAATTAAAAAAAAGGAAAATCAAAATGTGCATTTAGTATTATGGCCCAAATTAACGTGGACACTGATGCCTTTCTTGCTACTTCTTGGGGGAGGATTTAGGTGTCACCCGCCACACAGCCAGATCCCAACACACTATGAGAAATGCTGGGCCAGTCACTCAGGCCTTTGGCTAAGATAGAGTAAAATGAAATGAAATGGGGACCTCTGGGAACAGAGAATGGACATGCTGGAGATGTGGGTGGGTCGGGAGCTTTGGGGGAGAGAACAGCTGAACTTCGTGCTTAACCCAAAAGAGGCAGAGGAGCGCGCAAGGACACAGCCCAAGGCCCAGTTCTCGGTGGCATTGCTCAGTGGAGAGAGCAGGGGGAGGAGGGTCCCCATAGACAGGAGACTCAACGTTTCTCAGCTGTCCTCCTTCGGGTTGGTCCCAGCAAGCCAGTGTGGGCACGATCCACTTCCCACTCCCCTCTCACTTTGCGGAGAAAGCTTGTGGGGTTGTTGCCTCCTCTTTGTGAAACTCAAGTCCTGTTTGTGTTCATGGTAATCAAGTGGTTTGGGCTCCTACCAAGAGCAACCTCCAGTGGCTTGGGGTACGCTGGAGCACTCTGGTGGTTAATGTGCTTTGTGGTCATTGCATAATATCCCAAAGTACTGAAACTCGACCCCAGAATTAAATTTTATATTCATTCTGCATGAACTCAGTATTCTCTCCCTTGTACATTGCAGAGCTATTTGCAACAGCTAAGAAATGGAGACAACCAGAGCATCCACCGCTGATGAATGGATGAAGGGGAAAAGTGACGTTTAGACAATGGAATACCGCCAAGCTGCAAAAAGATGAAACTTCGTTATCTGCAGCTAGAGGAGCACAACTGGAAGACATTAGGTTAATAATGAAATGAACCAGGTGCTGAAAGATAAGCGCTGGGTCAGCTCACTCACCTGAGGCAGCAGCATTGATCTCATGGAACTCAGAGTACAGCGATAGTCAGCAGAAGCCAGAGAGAAGTCAGGAAAGACGGATCGAAGGGCACTGATTCACAGGTGCTGCAGTATGGGAGGGTGACTGTATGTAATGCTAACGAGCCCCATATTTCAGAAAGCTGCTGGGAAGAATTTTGAAACTTTTCACTACCTTGAAATGATAAATGTTTGAGGAGCTGTAGATATCACTCACCCTGAATGACACACTATGTATTCAAGCACAACTGTTACATGCCGAAGACATAAGAAAATCTATCTTGACTGCCTATTTAAAATGCACTAGAACAGTGGTACTTAAAACTGTATCCTATATATAGGTGGGGTGGCGCATGGCTATAATTCCAGCGTTTGGGAGCTGAAGCAGGAGGATCACAAGTTCAAGATCAGCCTGGGCTACATAGCAAGTTCCAGGTCGTCTTCTACTGAACAGGGAAAGCCTGTCTCAGTAAATAATAGGTAAATAAGTGAATGAATGAATGAATGAATGAATATCTATGACTGTCATATGCAGTGATGCTCTCTACCAGTCTTGCTGGTTTGCCAGCTGAAAACCAAGCCCACTGAGGATCAGAGTGGTCGCTGTCCCATTTATATATTATGGTAAAGTTAACCGGTAAGAAAAAATAATCCAGGGTCAGATTGATTATCATATATTTAGATACATAAGGCTTTTTAAAAACCCTGCAAACTATGTAACAAATTTATTAACAGAAACTTGTTCCATATTTTGGGGCCTTTCATGTAGTGTATACATTTTTATTCACTTTATTAATTTTTTCATGGCTTTTAAAATTTTACTGATAATTTTAAAGTGTTGACATGTGTTCACACTGATGAATATTTTAGTCTACTCTAGGTGTCATTGCTAAGAACCTTATGCCTTTGTCTCTATGAAGTTGGCAAGCACTTTAAAAACATCATTATACTTTTTTAAAAACTTGCAGAAATAGATATTTTCATACATTGTTAGTGCAATTCAGGGCATAAATTTTGAAAGCCACTTTAGAGACATACACACAAACGTGTCCTTGCAACTCATGTTGTAAATGTCCGTACATTTGCAAGTGCATGAACATGTGTAAATGCATCCATACATTTGTGGTTTAGGTGAATGTTGCAGGAATTATTAAGTATTAAATATTAAAAATTTAATAGAATGTTCATTGTGTTGAGTAGAAGCAGCATTTATCTTTAAGTCTAATGATTATACTCAATTGATTTAATTACATTAGACTTATATATGGCCTATAAAGTTACTCATAAAATCATTTTTAATAAATAGCAAATGGTATCAGTTGAAATATTGATGTCATTTTGAAAAAGTGTATTAATACCACACAATATAACATCATTTACCTGTGCTGGAAAAAATACAGAAAATGTGCGCTGCCTAAATATCAGCAGTGTGGCCACTGTGTGTACTTAAAGAATGAATTTATGGAAGGATGTTTATTTTTTCTTACAGTCTTCTCTACCTTCCACACTCTCTACAGTGAATGTATATTATTTATGTAATGATAAACAAAGGAAGTTACAAGTTTCCTGATATATTTGTCCCCTTTGACCCAGCAGTTCTATTTTGGGGGTAATATTCTATCTAACAAAATAAACATATAAAGATGAATTTCCAGCTGTGTTGTTCTCTGACTTGTTCATAATAATCAAATACTAGAAGCAACTCAAATGGCCAACAATAGGGAACTGAGCTAAATTTTTCAGTGCATTCATATGGTGGACTATTGTATAAGTTTTAAAATCAGCTTCCTGCAAATATTTAAGAATAAGAAATGCTTATAATGTATTAGGTTTAAAAAGACAAAAAGATAGCTAGACAGTTCAATTACAAATTTGATTGCCTAGAAAAATATTAGATTGTATATTAACGAGTTAACACAGATTACCACTGAGTGTTAAAATTACTTGTAGAGGTCTTCTGAGTTCCTTCTCAATAATTTTCTGTGCCTTTTATAGTGTAACTTTTATAGATAGGAAAACGCAAACAGTAAATAAGCTTTTTGTTACTAGAAGCATTAAGATACAAGATCTATATGATCATGGTCCCTCCAAATTTTAGGGTTATTTTAACTAATTAGTCTACTTATTTAGTTTTGCAGTCCAAGGATTGAACTTCAAACTGAGCTACATCCCAGCCCTCTTCAAATTCTTTTATTTTGCAATAGCATCTTGCTAAGATGCTTTCTTCCCCAGGCCAGGCTTAAACTTGCATTCCTCCTGCTTCAGCCTCAGACAGTGCTGGGATTCAAATATTTTCTCCAATGCCAGCCTCACTCAGTGGTCTGTGCCCCACACCGTTAGCCAGGGTTAAGGAAATGTTTCCTCTTCAATCCCTGAACCGCTCTAACAGAGCAGAAAGACCTTCGGCCTAAGTCTTGCTTTGCTTCGCAGGGCATTTCCAAGGACAGCAGAGAGGCCTCTTTGGAGGCCGCCCGACCCGGACCGGTTCCGAGCCCGGACTGAGCTTTCTCAGCCAGCTACCCTGCAGGACCTGAGGGCCGGTGGCCCCGTGTCCCTGTCCTGCACCCTTCCTCCCCGGGCGGGCACCGGGGCACCGCATCCCCTGGACCAAGCTATATGGATGCAAAGAGAGCCTATCAACCCTAACAGAGCCCAGAGGAGGGCGGTGCAGGCACCAGCTGAGCACTGCGTGTGTGGATGCCTCTGCGCTGAGGACCGAAGCAAGGAACAGCACTGTGCGCCTGGAGGACAGAGGCGAAGGACAGCACTGGCGCACCCAGAAGGACCTAGGCGAGGGCCACAGCACTCGCGCGCCTAGAGGAGGCGGAAGGCTCGGCAGGGCTGCTGCGCGATTCCTTAAGGGCCCCGGCCCGCGATGGAGCCCACTTCCCCGGCCCCGGCCCGCTTCGCGCCGCGGGACTCGGTGCTTCCTTAAAGCCCAGCGGCGGCGCAGACAGCCCACCTCCCCGCCAGACAGACGTGAGCATTTTTGCCGACCTAGTGTCATTCTTCCCACGTCCCTCTTCTCCCCTGAAATGAAAAACAGACCTGGCGCTCACAGACGGCCCTGGCATTTGCTGACTGTATGCTGGATCGCCGAGATCGCTGGGTTTACAATCCCCACCGCCGGGTAACCCGCGAGGACCGAGTCAGACCTCCGCGCGCACACAGCAGTTACACCCGCGGTGCAAACAGCAGCAGAGGCTGCGGCGTCCGGTGCCCTCTGAGGCCACGAGAGCTTGATGGTGGCCTTTTGCGCTCCCATGCGTGTCCTGGCCTGGCCCACTTTCCAGGGTGTTTGTTTGTTTGTTTGTTTGTTTGTTTTTAACTGACAGCTTTGAAAACACATCAGAACTGAAACAGGCAGGACAGACAGAGCTCAGAGGGACAGTGCGGAGGAGGAGGAGGAGTAAGGAGGAGGAGGAGGAGGAGGCGGAGGAGTGCGCGGTCCTTACTTGACTTGACCGTCCTCGACGTAGGTGGTGCGGTAGAAGCCCACGAGCGAGCCGTCCAGCCGGCCCGCGAACTCCAGGCGCAGGCGGTAGAGCCCGTTGCCCTGAGTGGCCGGCAGCTGCTCCGCGGTCTGCAGCACCAAGAACTCTTGCGCCTTGTACTCGAAGCAGCGCGAGACCCGCACCTGCGCGCCCGCGGGCGTGTACAGCTGGGGCACGCGCGTGACCTTCGTGTCACGCACGTGCAGCCACAAGTAGCTCCTGGGCTCCTGCAGGCGCAGCGTGATGGTCACGTTGCCGGTGTAGGTGTCCTGCTCCAGCTCGGGCTGCAGCTCCAGGTCGTAGTGCTCCGGCACCACCGAGTCCGGCAGCCTGAAGTTCGTCCACGGCCCGCTCGCGTCCTCGCTGGCCGGGCAGGCGCTCTGGTCCTGCGGCGGGGCCGCCGTCGAGTGCGGGGGGCCCGGGACGGTGGTGGACACGTCCGGGCACGAGCGGGTCAGGCCCACCGACAGTCCCACGATGAGCCCCACGGCCACCACCACGGCGCAGATGAGGGCCGCGTGCCAGCCGCGGATGCAGTACCTCCGGGAGTCCTCCTTGTCCGCGAAGTTCATCGTGGCGGCTGCGGCCCCAAGTGATGCGTGGAAGAGCGCGCTCCGGAGCCAAGATGAGCGGGGTCAGCTGACTTCCTCCCCAAAGCTGGAAGGGATGCCCTGGCCGGCAGCCCTCCGCTTCGCGTTCCCGTCCACGTCCGCGTCCACTCGTCCGGGGCCCGCGGCGGGGACAGCGCGGCGGCGGGCGCGGGGCAGCGGAGGGGCGGGCGCAGGAGCGGCCCTAATAAACCGCGCGCCCCGCCCGCCCCCGCCCCGGGCGGGTTAAATATAAAACAGGCCCTGCTTATCGGCCAAAGGGAGGGGGAGGGCTTTTTTCTTTTTTCTTTTTTTTTGCCAAAGCTCTGTCAGCAGTTTTCAGCGTGAAAGCCTTTGGCAGAGGGATGTGCTTACAGAGGGAGATGCAGCCTTTGCTGCTTGGCCTCGCTGCTCCCCGCCGGGCTGACCTTGGCTGCACCTGGACCACGGCTTCTTCAACGACTCTGCCTCATCAGATCCCCGCCCAGGGAAGCTGAGCCTGTCCCTTCTTTGTCCCCATGGGATGTACACAGGCCATCTCCCAGGGCTGGTGCTGGGACAGGTCACTTGGGTGTGCAGGAAACGCTGGCTGGCAGGAGTGGTGGTTAGTAAAGCAGAACCAGGATGACCCCAGAGAGGCTCAGAGGATGCTGGATAAAAGAGGGGAGCACAAAGAAATCGGGGAGAGGCAGATTGAGATGAGGGGGCGGCCTGCGTGTCTCTGGAGTTGGTCGCCAGGTAGGCCTGACTTCTGCAGACTTCAATGCAGTCATTTCCAAGGGTGATCACGAAACACGATGTTGACTTAACTTTTAAAATACATTCACGCTCACGTCTAACATGCTTATCTTGGTGTCCTTCCTGCCTGTGGAAGCTCTCTTTGGTCAGCGCGATCAAAACCACAGTGAATGCTGCTTCCGGTGCCATCTGCTGCAGGTGAGTCCCAGTGGACAGGGCGCTGCGCGCTCCTCTCCTTATTCTCGACATCTGGTGCTGTGACCAAGGAAGGGGGACGTTTAGGGTCAACTCAGGACGTCACTGAGGAGGCAACAACAACACAGCTAAAGGTGCAGGAAAGGGACTCCCAGCACTGCTGCAGAAAATGGCACGCTGGCCGGATGGGCGTGTTCAAAGAAAGGGGAAATATTTTGGGGGAGATTCGTGACAATGTTTTCTTACTATAATAATGTTTAGAATTTAGACATTCCCTGTAGTTTGGGACCACGCTTCATACGTTTGGAGCAGACTCCAGGTGCAAAAATTGGCTTGCTGAGATGAGATTTCCATGATCAGGCAAAATCTTGTGCATCTAAATAAACAGAAATGTGGGGGTGTCACAGCAACCTCTGTATTTAGGAGTAACTTGGACCCCATAAGGCTCCACAGCATCGCTGAGAGTGACAAGACAAAATAATTACAAAGGTCCTGAGGTGTTTGGGCGTCAAGCATCATCCAAAGGACTTCCCAGAAGTTGTCCAAATCTTCTCCACTCTCAGATCTGTATTGACACCCACTTCTGAGAGAAGAGTGACTTTGAAAGACGTTGTCACTGTTGACTGTCATATACCTGGTAAGTGACAGAGCTGAGGTTTGAACCCAGGTCCTGCGAGCCTGAAGACGACGTGTTTACTGATTACACCAGTGCTGTTCTCTAACTAGGAGGAATATTCAAGGGTTAAGTTGCTATGAAAAGTTAGCGTTTCTCAAAGTGCAGTCCATGGTTAGGAATAGACAGAGGAACAGAACAGGCAATTCTGGGTTAAAGACAAGATTTTGTTTACTGCTTCTTTTTTCAGAATGTCTGCGTGGTGACAGTGTGATCCTCCAGAGAGGAAAGGCTAGGAGTAATTTCCACACCAAGTGGAGAAAATTGCTTTGTTTTGTGAAATAGTTTTTGAGGGACTTATGTTCCATGGAGTATACTCTTGAGAAATGCTTCGTGAAACCATTCTCAATTACAGCAAAACAAAAACACAAAGACGACTTAAGGCAAAATAAGTCCATTGTATTGTTTTCTCACAAAATAATAGAGAAAGAAAATGGAGATAAAGTTTTCCAAAATTATGATCCCATCTTGTATTTATTAATTGCACACTCTGAAGCAATTATAAACTCTTTCAGACCACAGCGTGCTTCAATTCTGCCAACTGACCTTCTGAATTTCAACTCAAAACACTGCTTTTGTTAAGAGTGTCCAACATTTCACTGAGTGTTTGATGGTCAGATATTTTGATGCCTGTCTCAAAAACAAAAGACAAAATGTGGATCAAATTTACCTCACTATAATGAAAGGAAAAATGGAAAGGAAGCCATTTGGGAGAATATACATAAAATTATGTTAAGCTCAACACATTTTAAAAAAAACCTCAGATGAGCAAGCCTATGTGAACTAACTTGAAATCCACCTGGCCTAGAGAGGCAGGAGAGTCACCACCAGACCTTCTGCCTGGACTGAGGGGGAATATACTAGACCTTTGGGATGGAGGACACTGAGGAGGACTGGAATGCCGTACAGGCTCTCCTACCGTCCCTGAAATTCCACCTTAAGTCGTTATTTAAGTGCACTTTTTTTTTTTGCTAGAAGAATAAATAAATGCAGATGGCGAAATGTGTGTACAAATTTTGAGTGAAATGCTCATATCTTAGCACCAAACCCTAAAGCCAACTGTATCCAGTAAAGGTCACCGCACGTTCTCAGGACAGTGTGTCAGGGTGACCTAATGGACAGAGACAAAGCACACAGCCCAGGAGCAGGGAAGCAGGGCCAGCACATGCACTCTCCACATCTGGGGTCACATGCTAGGACTGACTAAACACGAGCCTCGAGTTTTCACCACGTGACACTGAAAGACGCAGTCTGTGGCAAAAGGCTTTGGCCCTGATGATCGAGAGCCCACCGAGGCTGCCCCTTAGGAGAAGAGGAGAGATGAGCAGGGGTTCTGATCCTGCATGCAGAACGATGGAGCACACAAGTGGCCCCAGATCAAATGGTTTGCATTGGATAATCTTCAACTGAAAGGCTACTCCCCCCGGTTGGTGCTGGACAGTAGAGTGAACAAAGGGCCACTTACCGCCCACCCTGGAACAGCGGCAGTGAGCTGCCATCTCCAGACCTAGACTGCACCTCCCCTGGCTTTCACATAAGTTATGGTTCCCTGTTGCAAGTACGAAGTCCAGTATCTGTTTCCCCTTTGACACACAATAAATGTGTCCTGATTATTTATTGAATAACCAATGCATAAGGAACAAGGAAGGGAAAGAACACCATGAATCCAGAACGGGGAGTCATGATATGACATGCCAGGAATGTTGAGGGAAAATAAAATCAGATCAAATTCCAAGAAAGATGGGAAAGATACCAGCAGAGGCAGGGAGCTAGAAACTGTGTCTGGTCTTGAGCCTCGTGGCAGGCAGACTGAAGCAAGAGCTCACCCCAACACTGAAGACCCACATTGCACCCCCTTTGGCCCTTGGGCTCCCATTTTAAGCCCTTTTGTTATGTCCACGAATGAAAGATTCCTCAGAGGCTACAGAGCCTTCTGGGTCCCTTGGGTGCTAGTGGTGCACCTGGGTACTAGGACTAGTTCCAAAAATGTGCCCAGCTCTTTTTTTTTTTTTTTTTATTTAAGAGGAAAAAGAGAAAAACACAAAACAAACCAAAGCGGTGTAAGGGTACACGTAATACAGAACTACAAAAAAACAAAACAAAACAAAAAAAACAAAACAAACAAACAAAAAAAACATAACAGTAAGAAATCATCTGTTAGTATATTACATATTATCATCTTGAAAATAGTTCCTCAAATCACAGTATCAAAGAATACAAGGTGGACATTCAAACAGGTAGACTGCAAACAGCTGTGTTCAATGATCCAAAAACATTGATAAAGTCAGCTATTTAACACCCCTAAACACACTTGCTGTTATATCCGTTAGAGCTCTTTTTCTTTTTTTTTTTTTCCCTCTCTTTTTTACAACAAAATTCACGCACTTTGGATTTCATTACTCCTTAGTGCTTATTACTTTCTTTGGCGGGGGGGGGGGGGGGAAGAATACAGTCAAATATGGCAAAACAAAGCTGTCAGTCAATACCAAGGATAGACATAGCACATGATGTAGAACAGAGTACAAGTTTATCAACAATGGTTATCAACGTTGTCCCTTGTTTCCTTAAAAAGAATTGTCTATCTCATTAGATATTATAAAGTTGGACAAAACAGTAGAGAACAAGACCAATAAAACTTAGGCATTGTAAACATTACAGGACTTCCAAAGAAGACAATAGTCAAACCAGAATGGGTATCTTAGTGAATCTTATTGTCTTCAAAGTAGTTGCCTATGTCTTCAAACTTGATACTACCATATAGAATGGAACAGAGTCTAATCAGTCAAAACAAGATCGTGGGAGTGCTACAGGACTTCAAAACAATAGGAAATCAAAAAGAGTTACTATTTATATATCCTAATTTTTTTGAATTTTTTCTTTAATTAAGACAAACATAAGAAATGACTAAATAATTTTTTTGAAACAACTAGGGGGAGATGGAGATAAAACAGGACATAACAATATAACAATAGAGGTCACAGCATGACTGTTTCAACAACCTAGTACTTCACCACCTTATAACCTGACTTAATAGTAGTTACCATAGTGTCTTTTTCCTTGATATATTTGGATAAAACTTCATATACTCTAGCTTCAAATATTTTCAAATCAAGAAGCCCAGAATAAAGCCTTTCTAATTAATGAGTGAAAACTTTATAAGGCTCCAAGGCCACCTAATGGGGAATCATGATTACCACATATTTTTATATATTTGAATCATTACTTACATTAGGGAAACTATTCAGTATTCACACATGCGAGATTGATTTATTTCACTTATGAGTATGGTCTCAAGCTGCGCCCATTTATTGATAAATATCTCAATGTGATCCTTCTTTATAGCTGAATAATACTCCATTGTATAGAAATACCACAACTTTTTTATCCATTCCTCAGTTGATGGACACTTGGGTTGTTTCCAAGATCTGGCGATTACAAATTGTGCTGCTATAAACATAGGTGCACATATATCACTGTGGTATGATGCTTTCAGTTCTTCTGGGAATATGCCTAGAAGTGGAATAGCTGGAATAAATGGGATTTCCAGTCCCAACTTTTTGAGAAATCTCCAGACAGATCTCCACAAAGGCT